AAATAGTACTTTGTATATAAAATGCTTATGACTTCCAAACTATTAGTCCGATAGTCACGAGATTGGCCTCATTTAATTTAGCGTAAAGAAATACATCGAAAAACGTGCCTCACTTGCCTGTCAAGAGAAATTCTATTCTCTCCCATTTCCCTCGAACAGGTGAAAAGAGTACAGAAGAGAGTAGGAGAATTTTCAGGCATTATTTATAACAATACAGAAAGCTTTTCGTCACAAAAAATATGTTGAGTTATAGTTTTTCCAGAAAAATATCATCAGTATATTGAAACGGGTCTAAATACCGTATAAAGAATTTATTTTATTACTGTCTTAGATATAGATGCATGAAAAAATGTTTTTCATTAAGTATGCATGCATTAATTATGGAATTAATCAACTTGCTTAAAAACAAGCGACTTTTCAGACAACTGGGTTGATATTTCCCTTTACTGAATGCTGAAATTAATTATAATGCATTTTTAAGCGTTTGCTATTGTTTAAAAAGGAGGAATTCAATTTTGATATTACTCTCAATATAAATTAATATTTGCTATTATTTTTAATTGTTGATAATGTGGTTTAGTAAAAAAAACATTCAGCATTTTTTAAAGTAATAATTAATTATTTTACAGGCATTTTTTTTTAATTTAATGAACTAAACACTGATTGTATTAAAAATACTTTGCTTGAAAATCAATCTATTTTGCATAAAATAAAAGAATTTAAAATTGTAAACGTATTAAAAAAACCCTCGACGAAGTATCTACACATTAAAAAAAAAACCTTACCGAAGTTCTAATTAAAATAAAACATTATTTTCGCAATTGAAACATTGAAAGAAGTATAAAAAAAGGTATTTTTATAAAATGATTGTTACTAAAAAAAATAATAATAATAACGACGCAACTAAAGTTAAAACTGCATTTTTTTTTCAGTGAAATTATCTTTTTTAAGAATATTAAAAAATTTATTTATTGATCTTATTATTCATTAAGTTATTGAAAAATTAAATGATGTGTTGATATATGTTTTATTTGCAATTAAAATAATGACTAAATTTTTGTTTTTAAAGTTCGTGTTTTAATTCTGATTTGTAAGTACTTACTTTCGTAATAATCAATAAGGTAATTAAAACTTAATGTTTAGAAGAAATAAGAAATCAGCCCATCTTTAACGTATTAAGATTTTTAAATACTCATCGCAAAATAGAAATTCTTCATTTCCGCCAACAAATGCGGGTATTAATAAATATTAAATTTTGGTAGTATGTATGATAGTTAAATTATATTTAGTTTAATTACGAGGAGTACAATATTTTATCTCTTTACTCGTTACGAATACTTTAACCCTTTGACGCAGGTGGGACATCCCTTTTATATATTCTCTGTTCTGACGCTATAATTACAAGCAAAAATATATTTTGATATTTTTTTTAATTATAATAGTTACTAAAAATACCTGTTACATTGTCGGAATTAATTATATTAATAAAATCCAAAAATGTAGTTTAAAAAAATTTTGAATTCATATTCAAAAAAAAAAACTTAGCAATAATATGATATTGTAAATTAAAATAGTTTTAATGATGAATAACTGTTTCTTTTAGATCTAAATAACTACAAGAATTTCAAAAATTATTGTTTGGAAGTGAGACGCGCTTTGAAGATTTTCGCTTTAACGCAGAAAAAGACACTGATGTTTCATACTGTATTTCAGAACCATAAATTATTAAAATGCTAAATGTAATATTTTTCACTTCTTTTGACCAAAATTAATACAAAATACTGAAGAAGTATTTTAAAAAAAATATGTTTAATAAAAAATCTAAGTGAAAGGTTTGAAAAATTGACTATAAATTAATTTCATCTAAGTTGATTTTGATGCAATCACTAAAATTTTCAATGTACTTTAAACTATCATGTTTTCAATGTACTTCACTATTTTATAGCTTTTCATTTGAATTAAATTTTGCATACGTGTTTTTTATTTCACTCTACCCTAGAAGAGAGAAGGAGGAAAAAAAAGAGAGAAATTGCTGCTCTTTGCTTAAACTTGTTTTTTCACCGCTTAAACTACACATACAGTGAAACGCTTTTACAGGGGAAACTCGTTATCGCCGTTGGCATTATCGTAAGCATTGCTGCTAAATAATAATGTTTTTGGCTTACATTTTATTTTATTTATTATTTATTTATTTGAATAACTGTGTAATATGTACAAATCTAAGAATAATAAATGCAAATCTAAGAGAAATGAGATACATTCAAAAAATAAAATTTGGACTGTTCTAAAATATTAAGCTCTAATAGAACATTTTTGTTAAGGAAGAGAACTGTCCATACACATAAAAGTTTTTCTAAATTAAGCATTTTTTCAAAAGAATGAACCTATTATCATTAATTTAATATCCTTAATGAAAAAAGACGGAAGGTCTCCGACAATAAGCATTTTTGAATTCACTTAGAGTTCGTTTTGTTACTACTTGTTTGTCAGTTATTAAAATAACACATGAATGTAGGAAATATAAATCATTACAGTTCAATTCTTTGGAACTATAATTTTGATAGTTAAAAAACCTTTAATCAATGTTTGTTTTCTAAGTCAGTGATTAATATTTAAAAGTAATATTAATTAGTAGAACTGTAATTCTTTTGTTGTATGTATTTTTAATAAATGACAACATTAACTTTTATATTTTAAATTTAATCGTGATAAGTAAGATTTAAACAAATTAGGCAAACAATATGATACGAAAAAAAAACTAAAGTCTGTATAAATTGAGTAGTTATTATGGTACGATAAACCGAACAATTATTGTGGTATAAAATATAGATCAATTATTTTGATTAATAAAAAAAACTGAACTATGATTGCGGTAATAAGTCCACCAATCACAATTGTACGGGGAAAAAAACAGATAATCATTATGCTGCCGAGAAATATATGAAATCGTTTTAATGCTTTTCAATTGTTGAAATGTTTATTTTTATTCTTGAATAAGCAACCATGTCTTAGATTTTTTTCTTCTCCTGAAACAAATAATCAACTAGTCACATTCAATCCTTAGAGTGGGAGATTTCTAAAACTCTCTATAATTTTCTATTCCTACAAATTCTTTCATATCTAATCATCAATTCTATATCTCAAAATTAAAATCATTACATAACTTTGCGAAACATCTCAGTGTGTGCGTGCATTTCGTATCTTAAATAGATCTCATTTGAAGTTCTCTTCAATTCCAAGTAGTAGGAAACGATGAAGAGTACAAAAAAGAAAATCTTCCCCCTTCCCCTCTGTTCCATGCTAACCCCTTCTCGTGGGGAAGTTACCTTAATCCTTTCAAGATAGAAAGCGGTAATGAAGGTAAGCATCATCAACGGTGCCCCCCGGGGTGGTAATGAGGGGGCCAAAAGGGGGACGGCAGAGATTTGCGGTACCCGCTGATGGAAAATCAATGATGGAGTTATTTGCTTTAAAATTTAATATGATTGGACTTGGATGTGCTTCGTCGCTAGGCAAGAGAAAAAATAGCAAATCTCGTGGGTAGTAAAGAAAAAGTTTGTTTTTTTAAATCGATGAAGTTATGTAGGGCTTATATGACTAGATCAAAGTGAAATTGATTTTGATTATGTAAATCGAATATTTAATAATGTTGATAGATGTTGCGTAAATATATTTTTGGTATCTATATTATTTTTGTGTTCGATGCATCCATAAATCGAGAGAAGAAATTGAAGATAAAATATTTAGTAAAATTTAAAAATTTAGCAGAAAATGAATATCGTAAACAAATTGATTATTCCGGCTCTTTTTATAAACAGCCATTATGCAATGATCCAGGCTAATTAAAAACGCCTGATGCTTTTTAGGTTTATTACTATGAGCTTGTATACCTTTTGGCAATTTTAAAAAATACATCATTAATTTCAGAATCAGCCTAGTTTATTTCAGGCATTTTACAATAAACCTACAAATGAAGTCCCATTGCTAATTCTCCGCACATTTCCTAACTAGCTTAAAAGCATATTACACTGATTAGAAAATATTATAGATTTTTTCAATTAGCCTGGCTCTTTTCAAAATAATAAATTTAAAGGGCAAGATTATTAAAGTAACCTATGACATTCGTACTGAATCTTTTTACCCTTTTTGCATTTTGATCAGAAAGGTATATTACTAAAAATATTTTAAATGTTGTTTGTGGCGCCTTATTAACTGCAACAATAAAAAATTATGACTCACTACTCGCTTTTTATGTATTTTTGTTTATTATCATTCTATCTCAACATTATTATTTAATCTATTGTGTTTTTTTTAAAATATTTTAAGTCGAAATCCTCTTTATATTTTGTGAAAGTTATTAAATTTTTGTAATTCTTATAATACTATTCTTATTCTTTCTCATTTTATTGAAAAAGAATTAATTGAAAAATTCAATGAGCAAGTATATATATATATATATATATATATATATATTTTTCTGT